ATATATATATATATCATTAAGGATATCTGCATTCTCTTTGTTTCTCTGATGCTGACAATACAGCATCCAGATTTTTCTATGCCAGATTGAGGTTAAGAGTTGTGTTATTTTTTTATTATTATTGTAACTTTTTACTATAGAAAAGTTCAAGCACATACAAACTAGTAAGCATGACAAAACCCAGTACTCACTCCCAAGCTTCAATAATTACCAACAGTTTTTTCCAACTTTTTTTTTTTCTTAAATGATTTATTGTGAATTATGCGATGGTTTACATGGGAGAACATTAGTTTTACATTCATTCTATCGTCTATCGTCTCATTGCCATGGTTACAATCCCCTCCATGCAATCCTTCCCCCGTGCCCCCAAGGCCTCAACAAAAAAGCCCCCCCCCCCCCCGGGTCTAGATTCCAACTTCTTTTCATTTACCCCACACACTGTTTTTTATTTTCCCTCCTGGAATCTTTGGTGTCATTTTATCCTGAAATATTTTAGGACATAGCTCAGTATTTATCTCTAACTGATAAGGCACTTTTGTTTGTATGTGTGTGAAAATATGTACATCAGAACATGCAAAACAGGCTGCCACTCAACAGTCTACACATACTGTTCAGGGACACTGGGACATTCCTCACATTGTGTCAACATTCTTGGTCTAGTTGTTTCTTCTCCAGTAATTTAGACTTGTTGTTGTTGTTGTTATGTGCCATCGAGGTGCCCCTCTAAATGGAGTCCTGGTGCGGCGCTATGAGTTAATGCACCGGACTGCAAAGCCGTTTGAACTACTAGCTTGGTGGTTCAAGCTCACCAGTCGCTCCTTGGAAACCTTATGCAGGGTTGCTATGGGTCGGAACCAACTCGACGGCACTTCACAACAACAACAACAGCCCCTCTAAATGCTCATCTAGACTTCAGAGTTACTGCGGTCCCTTTTGTCTCAGACAAGGGGGCTTCAAAAACGCTCTTGGAAAAATTTCATTATCCATGAACATTTTGAAGCCTTCTCATATCAATAGATCTGTTTTGGAACAAGTGCAGCCAGAGTGCTCCTTGGAGGACAAGATGGCCAAACTTTGTCTCTCTTACTTTGGACATATTGTCAGGGGGAAACAGTCGCTAGAAAAGGATGTCATGCTGGGTAAGATGGAGGGTCAGAGAAAAAGAGCAAGACCCCCAACGAGATGGATCAGCCAGGTGGCATCATTGATGGCATCAAGTGTGGCAGTGAGGTTGGCCCAGGATCGGACATTGTTTCATTCTGCTGTGCATGGGGTCGCTATGAGTCGGTTCCGACTCGATGGCACCTGACAACAACAACAAATATATATATTTTAAAGAGCACAGTACTTAAAGGTGATATTCTTTATGTTTTTAGCTAAACCAGTTTTTTGTTGTTGTTGAAACATGACTTCAAGGGATAAATTTAGGTTCAAAGTTTGATGAGCAATAGTCTGAGAGGTTTATCTAGCCTCAGTGAGTACAGTAAGTCTGAATTCTTTGGGAATTTGAAGTTCTGTTCCACATTTTGTCCCTTGCCTGATGTTGTTGTTAAGTGCCGTGGAGTCAATTCCGACCTATAGTGACCCTGTATAGGGTTTCCAAGGAGCAGCTGGTGAGATTGAACCTCTGACCTTGCAGTTCAAATGGCTTTGCAGTCTAGCGCATTAACCCACAGCGCCACACCAGGACTTGCCTGATAGGCCTTTTAAAAAAGAATAAATAAATAAAACAGAATCACTTTGACAAGATGACTCCTCTGTTCCCACGAAACAGCAAACTAGTTGTTGATGAGTTTCATGACAACTCATGACAACTCATGACAACTCCATGTGCGTCAGATTAGAAATGTGCTCTCTAGGGTTTTCAGTGATTGGGTTTTTTTTTTAATGTTTTATTGTGAATTATGTGATAGTTTACATGGAAGAACATTAGTTTTACATTCATCCTGTCCTATATGGTTTCATTGCCATGGTTACCATCCCCTCCATGCATCATCAACCAACCAAAGGGTATACCCTACAATATATCCTACAAGCCAGTTCCCTCCCTGCCACCTCTGGTTGTCAGCACACAGCCCCTCTCCCTCTCTGGGTCTAAAGTCCCCAGCTGCTCCATCTCATCACGTCATTGTCTCTGCCTCCATCTCAGGCATCACTGCTTCTCTGGGTAGGGTCCTGCTCTCCACTCTTTTCCCTTCATGGTCCCAGGGACCTCCGCTCCTAGACTGAAAAGTTAATCACTCCCCTCCAGCCCTCACAATCAGTCCTGATAACAATTATTCACTACTGTATCACAAGAGACCTATCCACATTTCATTTCATCAGCCCCGCCCAGACAGACTGGATACTACTCAGTGAAGAGTCTACCTTCCTCCACGCCCTCTGGATCTAGGTTCCCTCTTGAAAGCTTGTAAGCCAGTCACTTCTTGCCTTTGTAGCCCCCTTCCCCCCCACCCCCCATGCTGGGTAGCCAATGTCTAAGTTGCCCATCCCTGTCTACTCTGTGTATGGAAGGGGTGGGAATGATCCTTGCTGTAAAGATTTGTTCCCCCTTTTGAGCTACTGCATCCATAGGTGTAAGTCAAGTTCATCAAATTGTATCAGATTACTCTTTTTTGTCCTCTTCTAGTTGAGCTCTGATCACAATGATTGGTTTTTCAGAAGTAGATCACTAGGTCTTTCTTCAGAGGTACTTCTGGATGGACTCACACCTCCCACATTTTCCTTAGCAGTCAAACATGTATATATATGACCCCAAACCCACTGCCATCAGATCAATCTGACTCATAAGGTTTTTATGAAAACAGAATGCCTCATCCTTCTACCGTGTCTGTGGTGAAGGGGCTTGCTATTTACAAAGTAGAATCAGGGTGACCTAAATGAGGTGGTGACATTTTAGCAGAGTTCTAAAGGACAGGAGGAGAGCCACATGGATGTGGAAGGCAGAGCCTTCTAGCCTCAGGAACACCATGTGTTAAGGCTTTACCTGCTCAGTGTTTCAGGTTATGTCTTTCAGTGAGTGCCAGCACCCGTAATATCACCCTGATGAACCTTCAGTGGGGTCCTTGCAAGCTGTGGATGACCGCGTCCACCGTGGCCGGAGAGGGCCCACCTGGGCCCAGCATCCAGTTGTACCTACCAGGTAGGAACCTGGAGTAGGATGGCCACAAAGAGGGGCCCGCTCCATTTAGAGGGGGCTGTCTGGAATCATTACTTGAGCCTCAGTAGGTGGGAAACCTTTTGACTGAGGGGGCTTGTTCATGCTTCAGAACATTTGATTCCTTTGCTTAATGTTGCTATATATGTTGTTGTTGTTATGTGCCATGGAGTCACTTCTGACTCCTAGCAGCCCTGTATAGGGTTTCCGAGGCTGTAAATCTTTACGGGAGCAGAAAGTCTTATCTTTCTCCTGCGGAACAGCTGGCAGTTTCAAACTGCTGACCTTGTGGTTCACAACCCGATTCGTAACCACTACACTACCAGAGCTCCTTTGCTGTATATGAGGGGGCTTCAAAATTTTCATGGAAAAATCCCATTATCTTCTCATTTTATTTTTCCACGAACTTTCTAACACCCCTCTGCATTCTCAGGCAAGGTATGTCTTTCACTCTTTCACCCCATCCCCAACCCTTGACCCTTCACTGAGCACATGCCCTTCACCCCAGCTGTCCACTTACTTAAGCTCCTCCCCACTCCCTGGTGTCCAAACATTCTTCTTCCCTCCAGATAACACAGTGAAGTGGAAAGTTCTGCCAAGTGTCCTACTTCTGTGGTTGATGCTTATGATAGGCCTGGTCCTAGCCCACTCTAGAAGGTGAGATTATCAGATGCATGGTCTCTTTCTTGGTGGGAAGGGCAACTGGGCATTAGCTGAGCTTGGGCCGGGGGGGTGGGGTGGGGGTAATGACTGAGGGCACCGTCATGCTCCTGGACCATGACACCTGTATATGAGCGCCTGGCCACCTGGATCCCTGCCCTGAGTCTTGCTTGCTTGCCAGGTGTGTCCACCTTTGGCACAAGGTGCTGCCCCACTGGGTCTGGGAGAAGGTTCCAGACCCTGCCAACAGCCACTCTGGTCAACCCCATATTGAGGTGAGCAAAAAGGCAGGTCATCACTGTCTACTGGGTATTTGGGGGTCCTGGAGTAGCCCAAAAGTGGGGAGTGAGGGACAAGGGGCAGAATCTCAGCCTCATTCCTTCCCAGGAGGGGTTCCAGGTTCAACCCCTCGTGGACATGCCCATCCTGGAGGTGCAAGAAATGGAGCCGCTGCCAAGTATGGTGTACCCCCAGCCCCTTGCTGTGCTGGACTCTGGGTATGAGAAACATTTCCTGCCAACACCCGAGGAGCTGGGTATTCTGGGATCCTCCAGCCCTCAGGCTCTGGCCTAGACTTGACCCCAGGGTAGGGGAGCTATTGACCACACCAGCCCTAGATCAGCCCTGGTGACAGATGAAGGCACTGAAGCTCAGAAAGGCCAAGTCTTTCACCTGAGGACACCCAGCCAGCAAGAGTTGGGGTTGAAGGATGCTCTCTCCCACAAAAAGGGCCGGCCCCAGTAGGCAATGAAGTGAGTAGAATGAAGGAGTAAACAAAAAATGCATGGCTTCAAGATCAGCTGCCTCCCAAAGTCTCTCCTTCTGCTAAGAAGAACTGTTGTTAAGTGCTGTCGAGTCGGTTCCAAGTTTCCAAGGAGCAGTTGGTAAAAACTGGGCACAATTGCCCACCTCCGTTACAGCTAAGTGCTCCCTTAGACTGAGTTTTCACCAACAGAACATGAACAGAAGTACTATGTGCCACCCCTACCACCCATCCTGAGTCTGGTGGACCTTAAAGCACTGGGTGTGGGCTTTTCCATGCTCTACTCTCTTTCCATAAACTGGACTTGCTCTTGATCCAGCTTTGACCATACCAGGGGAAGAGTGAGGCAGGAAGTGGGAAGAAACCTAAGTCTCTGAATGACCACATGGATCAGAGCCACCTGGAGAAATAAACATTTATGTTTTTATAACTACTGTAGCTTGAAGTCTTTTTGTTATAGCAGCTAAACCTGCACTCTTGCTGAGAGTAAAGCCCTTAATTTCCCACCAGGACGCGGTGGGGAGGTTCTGTGTTAGCAATACACACACTTCAAGCTGTCCGAGTATTTTAATGTTTTATTTTCAAGTATAAAGGCTTCATTGCAGAAGGGGGCCAGGGTCACAGGCAGTGGGCAAGGGATCCAGAAGCCCAGGTGGAGGTGAATGTGCAGGCCAGCTGGCTCCCAGGTGCCATGGCCAGTCCCATGGTGACCTGTCTGTGCCTGGGACCCTCTGCTAGTTGCCAAGAGGCCGAGGTAGCTGTAAGAGGAGCTGGGGGTGGAGGAGTGTGGCCTCACATAACCGCACAACACTGGCACATCTTTTGCTTAGGGCCACTTGTCTCTTCACTTTCGATTGGGGCAGGTGGTTCAGGCTGCCGGGCAGGGGCATAAGTGGGCACAGGATGGGCACTGGGGTTGGCGCTAGGCCCCTCCACTGTAAGCAGTGGCTGGCACTCCGAGGGCTGCTCCACGGTGGAGATTTCTGCAAGGGGTGGCGTGGCATCGCCTGAGGGGCCCTGGCCCTTAGCAGGGGTTTGGGGCTTTGCTGTCTCTTCCTCTGCGGAGCCTTCCTGCTTCTCTTGGGGCTGAAGTCCTTCTTCCTCTGGCCTTGGCTCTTCCTTGGACCCCAGAGGAGCACCTGCATCACTCATCTCCTCTGCCTGAGATTCTTTTGCCCCTCCTGACTCTCTCTGCTCTTGTGAACTCTGATCCTCCTCAAACCCTGGGGTCGTCTCTACTTCCAGTGGTTCCTGACCTCCTTTTTTCTCTGTCTCCAATGCTTCCTGACCTTCCTTTTTCTCAGTCTCCAGTAGTTCCTGACCTTCCTTTTTCTTGGTCTCCAGTGGTTCCTGACCTTCCTTTTTCTCAGTCTCCATTGCTTCCTGACCTTCCTTTTTCTCGGTCTCCAGTGGTTCCTGACCTTCCTTTTCCTCGGTCTCCAATGGTTCCTCACCTCCTTTCCTCTCTGTCTCCAATGG